CTGCCCCCACTTGCTGCCTCTGTAAGCCCGCTTCCCCTAAGCACCGGCTCCGCAGAGTCAGTCACACTCACTCACACTCTCTCTCTCTCTCTTTGCTGCTTCAAACCCAGATCTCCTCAGGGACCAGCTTCCGTCTGCCACCCCATGGTGCTGCCCCTGATACAGAGGCAGCAGCACAGGGTGGCCAGAGGCTCCCCTGGAGTAGGGCTGGTGTGCACTGGCTGCCGGCCCCATTCCCAGGGGAATATCAAATAATTGTGTAACCACTAAAATTTGATGCAATTACAGTTATTCAATTAATCTCTGTCTACCATCCCTAATTGGTACAGGAGCCCTATAGAAAGGGAAAATGAGGCAGGAAAACAACTTTCCATCTCTCCAGCCTGGGAAAAGAAAGACAGTAGGATTCCAAATGTGGGGTGACAAAACTTATCACTGTTGGCATGGAGACCACTATTGGACAGACAGCTTGTATTGTTTGACTGTTCTTATAGTACCTGAAGTGCCACAGCTTTTTGTGGACAGGAGGCTTATTAGTTGCTGAGCACCTGAAAAATCTTTCAAGTGAAGCAAAAGAAGACAAGGCAGGAGATGTTTGCTGAATTTGTTAATGCATCTTGGCACAGAGTCCAGAGGCTCATAGACTCATAGACTTTAAGGTCAGAAGGGACCATTATGATCATCTAGTCTGACCCCCTGCACAGTGCAGGCCACAAAATCTCACCCACCCCTCCTAGAATAATCCTCTCACCTATATCTCAGATATTGAAGCCTTCAAATACTTTGAAGACCTCAAGATACAGAGAATCCTCCAGCTGTGATCTGTACCCCATGCTACAGAGGAAGGTGAAAAACCTCCAGGGCCTCTACCAATCTAGCCTGGAGGAAAATTCCTTCCCGACCCCAAATATGGCGATCAGCTAAACCCTGAGCATGTGAGCAAGACTCATCAGCCAGACACCCAGAAAGTTCTCTATGGTAACTCCTATCATCCCTCCAGTGACCTATTTCCCACTGAGGCTTTCAAGGGAGTACCAAGACACACAAAGGGACATGTAGTGGCAATGATTCGCAAGCAAGCAGTTCTTTTAGAGCATATTGTGGTGCTGGTCGTGAACAGTGTCCCCCACCTAGCCATGTCCTGCACCCTGTGGGGAACATAGGATACTTGCAGCTGATTACAGGGGAGCCCTTTCTCAGTCACCAAATTGGAGAACCTTCCCATACCACTCCACCCACAGAAAAAGGAGAGTGGAATGAGTTGGAGCTCTCCTTCCTCTTAACACACTTTTATGAGCTAATCAGTCAAGATATGGAAGCAGTTCAACACTTCATGCATGTTCTGCCACGGTTCCACTAGTTTTAGATTTGCAATATTACATTGAATCAATAAACATTTTTATTATGAAAAATGTGGCTAAGAAGCTTAATTGGAATTCCTCCAATACATCAATTCCTAATAAACTGTGTGTTAAATGATAAAAGATGAAAATACATCATCGGTGTTTGAATGTGTTTTGCAAAGTGATCACTCCAAATCTAACCTCTCAATGACTCAGCAAGGGCAACTACACTCAGCTTCCAGATCCTCAGCCATTACCTTTCTTTCTAGAGACCCACATCTCTCTCCCTTCTGACCAAAGTATTCCTACCAGCCTTGGTCCTGGCCTCTTCTGTATTTATCTCCCAGCAGGCAGCTTGCCCAAGAATACCTGCTTGTTTTCTCTTTAGAAACTGATGAGTGATTGTCAACAGCTCTAGGTTACTAAATAGCACTTCTTGTGCAAACTTGCTTTGTTCTTGAGATAAAAAGCATTGCAGAAAAAGTAATTAAAAATTAATAAAAGAACCTACACATACTCCCATAAGGTGATCAGAATTAACCTCAACCCTATTTTCTCTATGCTGTCCCTGACAATAGCTCAAAAATGTCATGATCTGTAAAAAGAAAAAAAAAGATGATAAATAGGATGACAGGAGGGGAATGATGAGGGCTTGCTTAGGCACCAAATCCCAAACTTCCAGTGGGTTCTAATAGGCATGCCACAGTGGAGCATCCCCCAAAAAAGTGTGTGGTGGCCATTTCAAAAACTGCAGATCTATATAGATCAGTGGTTCCCAAGAGAAGTAGCTTAAGCAGAAATAAACAAAGTGTGCGGATGTACTTTTTTGCTATACTATTTTTTAAAAAGCACATTCTAAAAGAAGGTCTTGAGTAAACAAAGCTTAATAATGTCTGTTCCACACATTAAGCAAGTGAGGTTGAATCAGTTAGAAGGAGAAGAGAACACAAAAGATGAAAGATCAGTCCTGACTGGGAAGGAGAAAAATTCATCTTGGAAAAATATGTACCAATTTATGATCATTTTCTTAATGTTTTGAGATTTTCCTTGTATTTTTGAACACTGGTTTTTATAATGTATGGGTCTACTTTGAAGATAGTTTTGCTCTGTGAAAATGGCAGCGTAGGGTTTACTGTCTGTCATCTATCCAGTGACTTTCATATTCAGTTCATAAATACAAAGATGGTGGAGATTTCATACTATACAACTTTGAACTCTGCAAACTTAAACCTGGATCTGAGAATCAAGCTGGGTTGTTATTTCCTCCTTGTGCCTCTTTTAAAAATCTGCCAGAATCTCTCCACTTCCTTCAGTCACTTGTATGTTCAGGAAACAGTTCCTATTGTTTACATTATTATACATATGTACTCAAACAAATAAAAGACCAAAATGTTTCCATGAGTGCAGGAAAGCCCACAACTTCACTTTCTAGCTTGGAGATGTGGAATTAAAAAGAGAGAGAGCTACTTCTGCTGCTTGACCCCACCAAAATACTGTGATGGCTCTTGAGTTCTGGCCCCATGACTTGAAAGGTGGCAAGATCTCCCGCAACTAGCACCGCTTCATGCTGTTGAAACTTCTTGGTGGGTTTCCTGGGCAGCTGGTTATTTGTAGTGGTTATGTTGTCTAGGATGCAAGAACCAGGATACACATCATGCTGGTGGAGGTACAGGGCCTCTGTGCAAATGGCACTGGCTGTTAGATAGATCCCCAGGACTTTGACCATCTGGCTTCTTCATTGATGAGTACAAGTCTGCCTCTCAGAAACATTTCAGTGAAACTTCATGAATACAAGGGCAGTTGCCCTTAACTGTGACAACTTGCAGTTGTTTCATTTCAACTTTATATAATATAGTAAATATGTGAAGATCTGCATATATTCCAGTATCATTCCAGCAAATAGCTTTTAGACTATGTAGCTGCTTTGATCTAACATGTTACCTCATTCACGGTTTACTGTGAATCTGACTGCTTACTGAGCTCCATAAGGAACTGGCAACTTGAAAATGCTTCCCTATTTTTTGTGGTTACATAACCTATACCACACACTCTCCTGCATTCTTTAATATGTTGGTTTATGTATATTTGTGAGGAATTTTAGCATTTTTCAATGTGTGTAATTCAGTATTTCTGGTTCTTGCACATTAGCCATTAATGTAATACAGGATATTATTTTTCTGTGTAAAGAACAAGCTGTGCTCCATATTCTTTCTCCTTATATACAGACTTTGTTTGGATTAAATGTAGTTTGAAAGCAAAAAGAGGAAGTTGTCATTGAGTGAGAGTCAAAAGACCCACGTTTTGTTCCTAGTTCTAGCACTAACTCTCAATGACATCTGATCTTGAGCTGGTGATCCTGAATACTGGCACCAGTGGGGGTTGAGTACTTCTCACTAGAGCTGACTTGGGAAACAGAATCTAAGTACTGTGAGGGGGGAAAAAAAAATTTTACTTTCTGAATCTGAACCAACTTCTTCCCCCCCTCCCCCCACTACCACACAAAATTGTCTCTGTAATTGAAATTCCATAGTACAGTATTTTGTTTCAGAAGCAGAGTATCCCCACAACATCACAGTTTGATATTTCAGAAACAAAATAAACTCCCTCGGCTAGTATTGCCAGATGGTTTCAACAAAAATACTGGACACACTTGACATTACATCACAATCTACATGACATCTTATTTAGAATATACCGGACATTTATATTTTCTCAATTTGTTTCCTGAACAGAAAGCTCAGTTACTGGACGGTCCGGTTCAAAACCGGACACCTGGCAACCCTACCCTCGGCTGCCTGTCTGGCAGTGGAACTAGACTGGCTGCCAAGAAATGGGAAAGCCATGGAACTGAAATGATTTTCAGATGGAAATGAAAAGTTTTTGGTAGAAAGTTTTGCTTCTGTGGAAAGTGAGTTTTCCTGTGGAAAATTCCTGACTAGCAGTACTCAGCACTTTGCAATGTTGAGGCTTTCATTTCTTTTTGGGCTTTTCAGTGTTAGGGCAAAAAGGGTTTGTGATTATTTTTAGTTTTAAAGTGTTCAGCGAATATGTTTTAGAATCCTAGTGAAGTCAGGGAAGCTTCTAGTTTTAACATATGGGTACTAATCCATTATCTGGGGGAGTCCAGAATTTATCTCAAACATCTAACACTTGTTAAAACAACCTCTCCAGGATTTTAACATGTGTTGGCTATCATGTGGTTTTGTTTTCTGTGTCTGTGTTTGCATGTTTGTGTATTTATTTGTTTAAAACCATACACACATACTTTTTCCCAAATTTGTGTGTGTTATCCCATATGTAACATAGGAATAATAATGTATGCCCACCTTTTAAAAGTGCTTTCAGACGTGTAGATGAAAATAAAATCTAAGTTTTATTTAAATTAATCATCTTTAACATAGTACTTGTCATTTTTATATAGCTATAGAAAATTAACGGGGAAAGCTTCATATATAAATCTAACAAATCAAAGAATAAAGTTTAAAGTTTCTTTTTTCGATAATTGTTTTCTGTTTCTATCAATATATTATTATATTTTGTTACATTATAAAATAAAAATTAATAGAAGTTGTAATGATAAAATTACATGATCTTGGTCTCTGTTGTAACAGGATGTCACAAGTATAATTTTTACTTCCTTTTTTTAAAAAATTTTAGATATGGGAAAATTGTATCCACAAAGGCTATTTTGGATAAGACAACAAACAAATGCAAAGGTATGTTTGTATTTAAATTATATTCACTTACTTGTTTTCAAATGATTTTAAAATTGGCCTGTGGTTTAAAAATCACTTTGTGTGTCTGTGTACGTTATATAAAGTGCTTTTTTTGTGCCCAGTAAGCACCGGTACGGTGTACTGTCGCCCTTTTTGGGGGGCACTCACTGTTTTCCCCCAGCACAGCTTCCAGCTGACCCGACGGAAGTCCGACCTTGTGTGTTTGGTTTTTTTTTCTTTTTTTTTTCTTTTGGTCAACAATTTTTTTTTTTTTTTAAACCATTGCAACCCTAGTGCCGGCACTTTTTTTTAACAAAAAAAAGCACTAATAAATTACAAATACATTCTTATTCCTAACCAAAGTTTAGTCTTGCCCAATGTCTGTATATTTGTTATGTTTGTCCCCAGTGTAAGTGGTAAATAAACCATGCCCAAGCAGTATGCCAAAACGTCAGATGACTCCAGTGAAGTTAACAGGCACAGCACTGGCTGGCATTTAGCCTCTGCTTTAAAAAGGAGAACACAGTCCTTAGAAAACAGCTTTTCCCTTCCTTGTCTAGGGCTATTAAAGTGCCTTACAAAAGACCATTCGACTGTACTAAGTTTCTGGAAACATTACACATTGTGCAAATTGGCTCTATTAATTAAAGCAGAGTAGTTTTAAGCAGTACTTAATTACATGTTCTAACACCCTAATTGTTTTTGTTCTATGCTTGTTGAATATATTGCTGGAAAAGAAAGGATTTGTTTTTATGAACATAATTATAGCTGGAATTAAAAATAAACTACTTTTAGATACACTGGATATGTTAATTTAGTGCACTGACCTTCAACATTTCATATAATTATTATGAGCTCATCCCCCACCAACACAAGTGGTGGGTAGAAGTCTAGCAACAGATTCTGACATATCATGTTTCAGACATTCTTGCTTACAATAACGAGGATAATTTATAAGCAAAGGAAAGAATGGAGTCGGCTGACTTAGCAGTGTTAACACTGGTCCCATGAATGAGTACAGAGTTGACAAGCAGGGAGCAGGAGAGGAAAATTGGTCATTAATAGAGTTCCAGCTTTTGATGGGGCATGTGAGGGCAATGGTGTAGAGTGCATTCTAAACACAGGATCAGTCAAAGGGACACTGGTGATTTGAAATCTGTACTTACCAGGGACAATTACCGTATTTTCAGTGTATGAATGCATTTGGCAGTACTTATTTAATTGTTACACCCACACAAGTTCTGAAAAGATGTATAGAAGTCAGCTTGCTAGTACCATTCATGGCTTCAATCTGCAAAGACTTTTGCATGAAATTACTTCAGTGTCCTTTTAAGTGTCCAGATTTAGAGCTGATGAGTGTCCTTTTAATGGCAATATTCCTTCCTTGAAGTTATGCTTTGGCATATAGTTTCTCTCTACAGAATCTTTATGGTATATTTAATTGTATTTTAAACTTTATATATTTATAATTTGAAGTTGGGGGAGAGAGAGCTCAGTGGTTTGAGCACTGGCCTGCTAAACCTAGGGTTGTGAGTTCAATCCTTGCAGAGGCCATTTAGGAATTTGGGACAAAAATTTGTCAGGGATTGCACTTGGTCCTGCTGTGAAGGCAGGGGACTGGCCTCAATGATCTTTCAAGGTCCCTTCCAGTTCTAGGAGATAGGCAATCTCCATTAATTTATTTTATTTTATTTATAAGTTAATTTTAATAACTTAATTTTTTCCAAAAGTGATGTGGGATTTTTCAATAACAACAAGCAGCCAATGGATCAGTTTTCCATTGTATCTAAAATGTGGTGTTTCCAACAGCCAAGCGTCCCATAATTATCCATTTCATAATTTGCTTCAGTACTAAGAGAAAATAGGCCCACTTTCTTCTGGAGATCACTGGCCTACTTTCTACTGCTCTAAGATTTTATTTATTATCAAATTAGACTTCAGTCAAAGATTGCCAAGCTGCTTATTTTGGGTGAGAATTTCAGAGGCACCAAGAGATTGAGTGATTTTTTTTCAGGGGGTCCTATAGACAGTGGGTTGCTTAACTAGGTAATGGTACCAAATGCCTTCTTACCTTTGAATAGGGTTGCCAAGTGTCCAGTTTTGAGCCAGACAGTCTGGTATTTGAGCTTTCTGTCCGGGAAACAAATTGGGTATTTTCTAATTAAGTTAGTTTTATTATTATCATGAGTATCAATACGTAATTGCATACTGCCTGGCTGGTAGACACACTCACACTGCGTGAGTGTGTTTACCAGCCAGACAGTACGCAGCTACACAGTAGAGAGGAGGGAGGCAGGGTGGGATGGAATCCCCGGAACTGCACTTGCCCGTAAGCCCCGTTGGGACCATGCGCGGGATGGGCAGCAAGCCAGGATCTGCATGCGCGTAGGCCAGCCCCACTCTCTGCCGGCTGGG